ATAGAATAGAATAGAATAGAATAGAATAGAATAGAATAGAATAGAATAGAATACTTTATTGGCCAAGTGTGGTTGTACACACAAGGAATGTGTCTTGGTGTAAATACTCTTAGTATACATAAAGAAAAGGTACATTTCCAAGTTTTCAAGAATCATAACATACAACACTTAATGATAGTCATAGGGTACAATCAACAATCAAATCATACTAGGAAACAGTCAAGTGGGAGGGGATGGGTGATAAGGAGTGGTGAGAAGATTAACAGTAATAGTAGTGTACACTTTGTAAATAGCTGAACAGCGTTGAGGGAATTATTTGTTTAGCAGAGTGATGGCTTTCAGGAAAAAAACTGTTCTTATGGCTAGTTGTTCTACTGTGCAGTGCTCTATAGCGTCATTTTGAGGGAAGGAGTTGAAACAGTTTATGTCTGGGATGTGAAGGGTCTGTAAATACTTTCACACCCTCTTTTTGACTTGTGCAGTATACAGGTCCCCAATGGAAGGCGGGTTGGTAGCCATTGTTTTTTCTGCAGTCCTAATTATCCTCTGAAGTCTGTCTCTGTCCTGTTGGGTTGCAGAACCAAACCAGACAGTTATAGAGGTGCAGATGATAGACTCAATAATTCCTCTGTAGAACTGTATCAGCAGCTCCTTGGGCAGTTTGAGCTTTCTGAGTTGGTGCAGAAAGAACATTCTTTGTTGTGCTTTTTTGATGACATTTTTGATGTTAGGTGTCCATTTTAGGTCATGTGATATAGTAGTACCTAAAAATTTGAAGGTCTCTACTGTTGATACTGTGCTTTCTAGTATTTTTTTTTAAATAAAGTTTTATTTGGGTTTTCACACACAAAATACAAATAAAACATCTTTTTTGAAAATAGCATGGTCCTGGGTTGAACTTCTTTATACAGACACAAAACTCAATTTCATGCTCCTTTTTGTATTCTATTCCATATCTTATACTATTTTACATTTTCTATATAGTTTTTCCCCTCTTTTAATTTTCTCAATTTTGATTATCTCATCTCAATTCAAATTATTATATTTATACTTTTGTCTGTTCTGTTTCAATTTCATATTATCTTTTCTCATTAAATACATTTTCTCCTGTAGTTACTAATTGGAGTATGACACCTTTATATCTTTTAATTACATCCATTCAACTCTTATTTAAACTTCAATATATACCTTAAGTTTATGACCTTCAATATAATACATAACTTCCAATCGAATTCTGCTTGGCACAATCTTATAATTAAAATATCTTTTTAAAAAAAGAAAGATTGTAAATATATGTAACTATAAACCCTCATTCCATTCCATTCAGTTCTATCATTAATAATCATTAAAACCATAACATCTTTAACACTTCTTTTCAATTAAATATCATACTTCTTTAAAAACACGTATAATCTCCATAATTAATTTTTCCCTTCTCTTCACATATGTTTTATAAATCATTAAATATACCTTTTGTTGTATTTATTTATTGACGAGCATTCCACTGAATTACGATAGCTATTTTATCAGACATTTTAATCATACATTGTTTCATATTTTCTAAAATTATTTCTGCTTCTAATATAACCATACTATCTTATGTACCTTTGCAGAATTCCTTTTTCCATTAAGTTTTCACCCATTATCTCTAAATAGACCCTGTTTCTCTATATTTTGCTTCTGGCCTTTATAACTTCTTTTCCTTTCTTTCTTCCCTCTCATCTTCTCCCTCCCCTTTTTACCCCCTTGTCTCTCTACTTCTAATTCTCTCTTCTGCATTTCCCTCTTCTGTTGCTTTCTGATTTTATACTTATTTTTCACTCTATTGTTTTTTGGAGTTGTTTTTCCCAATCTTGAACTTTCCATTCTCTTTCCCCCCTTTCCTTGTTTTCCCCCATCTAAGATTATTTGTTCATTAAAGATGGCTTCTTCTTTGTTGCAATCTTCTGGTTCTGCAGGCATTTCTAGTTGTTTCTCATAATTCCAAATCTCCATTTCTAAAAACTGAAATACAAAGCCAAAAGAACCTCTCCCTTCCTGTGCATCTTCTTTGTACTTTTTAAGTTCCATTTTCAGTTCTTCTAAAAGTGGAGCCATTTTAAAAAGTTTTAAACAACCACGCGATTGATTTTTAGGTCATTCAAAACAATAACCAAGAATCCAGAAATCATAAAGTAATCCAAATAGTCCTGAGTTATATCTTCTTATTTCTTTTTCGACTTTCTCTTCCTGGGGCTTTTGTTGCGATATTTGAGTTAGAATGTATCTTTTGGAAGTCTTGTTGAGATTTTGCTGTAAGTTCTTTTTTAATTCCAGGCAGTCTCCTCCCTTCCAGATCCTACCCTTTTATTCTTTTTCTCTCCTTTCCTGTTTTCAAAAGCTTTTAATTATCCAGAAATATTTATTATCCCTTTGACTTTTTATTTTCAGTATTAAATGTCTATTAATGTCAAAGTGGATTTTTTTCCAATTTCTTGCTTAAGTCTCTTAGCTGTCAGTATAGGAAAAGGAGAAAACGAAATCTTTTTCCTTTTCTCTCTCCTTCGCAGCTTAAAAATCTTCTTAGGGAACAATGTTATTGTTTTTTAACAGTTTCAGTTCCAGGGTACCTTATTTGTTGCTTTTGCTGTTTGACCCAGTCAACCAAAACTTTCTCTTCTTACCTTCCTCTTGCACATTCTTTTCTGGTCGAGTTCTTCTTTGTGGTGGCCATTTCTGACCACTGCTGCAACCGCCTTCAGGAAAGGGAGTAATGGCCAGCTGGGGAGGAGAGATGCGGCTCTCCTCAACCCTGCTGGCAGTCTCCCCCCTCTTCACCACCTCTACAGGGTAGCTTAGCCCCGAAACCAGCCGGCTCGGGGTGCTCCAGTGGTGAGCACGGATTGAAGCCTTGCAGAGACGAGGTTTCGGTCTGTCGCTGAAGAAGCTCAAACCAGAAGTCCCTGTATTGTCTAGTACTGTAAGCGGTGGTAGTATGGGAGGGTTTCTTCTAAAGTCTACCACCATTTCTATGGTTTGAGTGTGTTCAGTTCCAGATTGTTCTGGTTACACCACGAGGCAAGTTGTATAACCTCCAGTCTGTATGCAGATTCATCGTTGTCTCGAATGAGACCAATCATTGTTGTGTCAGCAGCAAACTTCAGTATTTTAACAGATGGATCATTTGAGATGCAGTCTTTGGTATATAGGGAGAAGAGAAGTGGAGAAAGCACACAGCCTTGGGGGGTCCCTGTGCTGATTGTATAGATATCGGATGTGATTCCGCCTAGCTTCACCTGCTGCTTCCTGTCTGTTAGGAAGCTT